CATTCAGCCATAAAAAGGAATGAAGTTTTGATACATGCTACAACATGGACAAATCTCTAAAACATGCTCAGTGAAATAAGCCAGACACAAAAGAACAAATATTATATACTCCTACTTATATGAAAAATCTAAAATAAGCAAACTCATAGAGAAAGAAAGTAGATTAGAGGTAACCAGAGCCTAGGGGGAAGGGGAACCTGGGGAGTTATTGCTTAATGGTTACAGAGTTTCTATTTGGGGTGATGAAAAGTTTTGGAAATAGTGGTGATGACTGAACATTATGAATGTAATTAATACAACTGAATAGCACACTTAAAAGTGGTTAAGGGGGCCGGCCCCATGGCCAAGTGCTTAAGTTCATATGCTCTGCTTCGGCGGCCCAGGGTTTCACCGGTTTGGATCCTGGGAGCAGACATGGCACCACTTGTCAGGCCATGCAGAGGCGCCATCCCACAATTATAAGGACCCACAACTAAAAAAAAAAAAAAAATACACAACTATGTACCAGGGGGCTTTGGGAGAAAAAGGAAAATTAAAATCTTTAAAAAAAAAAAAAAGTGGTTAAAATGGCAAATTTTGTTACATATAGTTTACACAACTTAAAACATTAGCAATTTAGTATACCAAAACTCACTGAATTGTACACTTTAAGTGTGTGAACTGTATGATATATGAATTATATCTCAATAAAGCCATTAAAAATATACTCTAATTTTATGTGAAAATAGTGCTATACACTCAGAAAATTATTCCAAATGATCTTAGTATGACAGTATTGACTACACATCCTTAACAGGATATATTCTAAAACTAAAAAGCTACAAGCAATCAAACTTCATTATTCTTAACATCCAAGAAAACAGGTCAAGAAGGAAAGTATTGTAGTTAACAATACTTTTAAAAAGCAAAGAAAGAAATACACCAGAATTGGGTAGATAGAGCCTCCCTTTCCCACCCCCTATGAATTCATACATTTTAAATTTATCAGGAAGTTTACGACAATAATAGCAATACACAACAGTCAAGATGGCACTAATAGGAACAAAGTTTTCTTTCCCTTTTTTAAAATGAATAGATTCCCACAAGGTACAATGTCAATACATACAGAAAAATCAACTCCATTACCTATTTCAGGCTTCCAACTATCTCACTAAAGAGAACTATCTTAAGATAATTAAACAACAGTTACTAAAGACTAATATACAGAACCATAAAATCTGAGCGAAACTTGATGATCTTCTGTCACCAATCTGCTCATTTTACAAGGGAACTGAAGCCCAGGGGAGTTAAGTGCCTTGTTTAAAGATGCATAGCTAGGAAGGAGCAGAGCCAACGACAATCCATAATTCAGTCAGTGCTTCGTTCCATGACACCTATGCCATTATGAGCAAATGCTTGAATTCACTTTAGCTGCTAAGTATCAAGAACTGATGTGGGGCTGAAAATAGGAACATTCAGACCTTGAGAAATGCCACATTATCTTCCTCTTGACAGCCAACTGACTCCCCTCCTTCCCCACACCCCCTCCAAAAAGCTCAGGCAAAATGGGTTTGTTCTCAGCATAAAATGATGGGCTCCACACTTATGGAGTCCTGACAAGGGGGACGGCAGGGGTTATAGAGAATAAGCAAAGTGCAGATACTGAACAGTGAGTTCCCCAATCCCCTTCCCCTAGAAGATAAGGTTAAAGGAAATCTCTCAAAAAACAGAAGACGACACAAAAAAGAAAGATGCAGAGAATCAAACCAGAACCAACTTTCAGTTAATCAGAACATGAGAAAGACAACAGAAAAAAGAAAGAGAAGAAATGCTCAAAGAAATAACACAAGAAATGTCCCAGAATTGAAGAAAATGAGTTTGCCAATTGAAAGGAAACCGCCAGAAAACCTATGAGCTATGAAGAAAAGGAATCACATCAGACTTCTAAGAGTACAAACGATGAGAAAATGAAGCAATGCCCTCAAAATTGAGCAAAAGATTATTTCGAACCTAGAATTCAATAACCAAACTACCAATTAAATTAGGTAAAGACATTTTTCATATACAATGTTAAAAAAAAAAAATCCCATCCATTCCTTCTCAAAGCAAACTGGAGATTGTGCTACACCAAAACAGAGGAAGTAAGTCAAGAGGACATGAGTTGGAAGAAACCAAGTGTCTAACGCAGAAAAGGGAATTCTCAAGATGATAAAGGAAAGTCTCAGGAACACAGCTAAGCAGAAACCAGTCCAGGATGGAGCAGTAAGACAAGAGCGAAGAGTGCTCCAGAAGGAAGACTCTTAAAAAAACATTTTTTTTAGATCTGAAATTGAGGGGTTATGTGATTTATTTAAATCACACTAGAGAGTTTAAATTGAGTTTGGGTAAAGAATTAGTAATAAATCACAGAAAACTAAAGAAAGCAAAAAATAAAGCAATTATTAACTATAGGAAAAGTAAAACTACACAATAAGGGCAATTCAAATGCAAAAATATTTACCTTATAATTATATAAACTATAAATACACATTTAACTAAAAATTACAATAACAGAACTGGATGAATGAGAGGGAAATAAAAACATCTGTCAACAGAGGTGTGGAGGAACAGACTAGAAGGCCTGTAGAAAGTGTCTAAAATGGGGAGGAGAACAAGAAATAAAAGCACATAGGTATGTATGTTATTCAGAAGTACGAAGTACAGCCATAAACGGCAGTCAAGTTGCCTCTGTGGAGTAGGAATCAAAGGCGTGGAATAGGAACTCAACTAGATAGAAATCTAGGAAAACTAAATAGAAGCCATCTGAAAAAACAAAAGTTAAAGAAACACAGGCGACATTTTCAACAAGGGCAAAAGGCAGTGTGAATGAGCTGGAAAATGGCAAAACAAGAGGAGATGAACAAATGAAAGCACAACGGAAGCCTGGGAAGATAGACTACGGACCCATTACTGCACTCCAAACTGGGAGCCAGTGAAACCAATCTCTTTCGACTTTTCACAGCCACTGTCTCTGCCCCATCCACCATGTCCCTTCCAAGCTATCCACAGCACCCTGTTTTGTCATTTCACTTAGACCTAAGTCTACAGAATACCTTCACATGTTCCAAACTTACTTACTTGCTAATCAACATGCCACTGAAATTCCCAGGTGCTAAAATTAATGATTTCTCCTTGTCCGAAGAAAAACATGATTAAAATAATACTCTTTAAATGTAAAAGAGAGGTGGCCATAATAACCAATCCTTAAAATTTTGCCCCCACTCCTCTTTATTTATTTGACTAGGTAGTTCAAAGAACATTCTAACTTCTGTCTAGACCAATGGTTCTTAATCTTTTGGGAGCCAGGTGCCCACTAACAATCTCATGAAAGCTCTAAACTTACTTTAAAAAAAAAAAAAGTCATATCAATAAACAAAAACCATAATTCCAGGCGTACAAAAACCCTTAATAAGGTTCTGTTTTAGACTTTGGCACCACATTTGTGTTTGCGACTATGCCGGCAGTTTGAAATTACAACCTGCATGTAAGTACCTATTCCCTTCCTCTAGAGGAATAGACTGTAACCTACTCCTCTATTCCTAAAAGAAACTAAATCAGGCCGAAACCAAAGCCTTGCTGAGCCACCTATCGGACAAAGTATCTTTAATCTCTCCAGGTCTCAACATCCACAGGGCTGTTGGGAGCACAAAACACAATCACATAGGCCTGGTATGTGATAAAAAGCACAATTTTGTTCTATTACAATCACGATCGTCCCTGAGTTTTCCTTTTTAGTTTCCTCACACCTTTACTCTCGTAGGCCCTTACCTAAACACGCCTTGAACATCCATTTAACATCCATTTAACATCGACATTTACTGAGTGCTTACTATGTGCGAAGCACTGCCCTCGATGTTCAACACCGAGCACCCTGCACACTCCCACCACCACCATACCCGCATCTTCTTGATGAAGGAGGTTTAACCCGCCTCAAAGTCCACAGCTCACCAACGGCACAGCTGTGCTTCGACCGGGCAAACTGACTCAAGGTGCTGTGCACACCCGCCCTCAGCGCCTTTCTCCTCACCCTCCACTTCCAGTCACTAAAGTCTGGGTGAATCCAAAACATATCTAGCACATTATTTATCTTAGGAAAAATACAAGAGCATGTTGTTGAAAAGGTTACAAATTTTAAGTCACAGTACGAACGCCCCGTAAGAAATTCAGAATTCCCAACATTCCGTTGGAAAAAAAAAAAAAAAGCAAATAAAAGCAGCTTCCACAGAGCGCCGGGAATGGGAGCGGGGCGTGAGCAGCGCGGGCAGAAGCCCCAAGACCACAGACGCAGCGACGGCCCACGAGCGCCCCGCTGGCCCGCCGGCGCGGCCCAAGGCCCGGTCCGCGCCGCGCCGGTCCCCGCAGCCTTCGCCCGGGAGGGGGCCGCCGACGCGGCGGGGAGCCGGCCGGGAGCCGGGAAGAGCGCCGCGGGGACGCGGGCGCGGCGACGCCCGGGACAGGACGGCGCGCGGACCGCCGGGAGCGGCCAGGAGGAAGAGGAAGCGCCGGCGCCAACGGCCGCCGCGCTCTCCTGCTCCGTCCCCAGGAGCTCGCGAGCGCCACGCCGCCCAACACACCGCGCGAACCGGCCGGCGCCTCAACGGAACGCGCCAGGGAGCGGCGGCCGCCGGGAGCCATGACGCCGGCGCCGCGCGGGGCCGCGGCCGGACCAGGGCGGAGGCTGCCCGTCTCCCCAGGGCCCGCTCACCTCTCGGGGCGACGGGGCGGAGCCCTGCACCGAGGCGATGTACCGCTCCACGTCGGCCTTGCTGCGCCGCATCGCGCCGCCAACCCGGCTCCTGACGCGCGGGAGGCCAGCCTGAGGCCCACGGCGGTCGGCGTCTCCAGGAGCGAAGCGCTTGAAAGCCCGTGACGCAGCGCCGTCGCCGGCGGAGGAGCCGCTCGACCCGCGTGCGTGTTGCGTCAGCACTGTGCGCCACGCCGACGACGGCGCGCTCCCGCCGAGCACCGCCCTCCCGCCCCGAGTTCCGCGCGCGGTCTGTCGAGCCCTGTCAGATGCGGGCTGTGGAGAGCGCCGGCGCCGAGAGGCGCGGGGAAGGGACGTCCAACCCGGCGCCCGGGCTAGGTCAACGACGTGATGTTTTACCTGAGGAGTCCTCAGAAGTTTCGGTCGTTCCGTCTTCATCATAGTTACGCGATGCTGTGGACGTAAAAAGCACTCTCACGCCATTTTGGTGAGCGTGTAAATTGGAACGACCTTTCTCGAGGCGATTGGTTAAATCTATTTGTCTGACACGTGTGCGTACGCAGCATACGTGTTAAAACTCATGCTTTTTTAAATGACATATATGAGAAAATTAAAAATACATTAAGAAGCAGGCCGCAAAGACTATGTTTGGGGAGGATTATAATTTGTATATATGAATAGCCCTCCCAAATTTATATATATTTCAATAGCAGAACGGGAAATACTAAAATGTTAATGGTAATCATCTCAAAATGAGTTATCTGTATTTTCCAAATCTCCAAAAATCTTTACTTTTGGAATTTGAATTTTAAACTCTTAGTTTAAAACAAGTTTTATAAAATGCTTTCAATGGTAAAGACATTTTTGGATTAAAAAAGATCACATCTGTATATACAGTAGGGTCTTAATTATCTGGGAAAATATCAAACAAAGGAAATATGTTGAAATTTTTAAGCAACTTTAGGATGTTATGGTTATGGATAATTTTTATCCTTCTTAATAGACTAAGTACAGTTTTATCCGATCACCTGGAATTAACCTGGCCTCTTTCAGGCTATCTCCTCAGTCTATTCTTTTTGATTTTTCCGTATTTTCTACATTGAGCAAGTATTTCCTTTAGACAGAGGGAAAAATGCAGTTTTATTTTATTTCAGTCATATTGGATGGAAATAAGAGAAAAGGAAATGATGATACTGAGGTCACTAGTGTGACTGACATACATTAACAGTGTCAACTTAAAAAACAAATTTGCCTGCTATTTTGGCTCAAAATGAGCCTATTTGGGAACAGCCAAAAGAATTGCAATTTGGGATGGGCATGCTGTGGCTAACCACAGGCAAATTGGAAAACAAAGGAAGAGAGCTTCCTTAAGAGAGAAAAAGGGGGAGTAAGGAGGGGCTGTTCCAAGGAAAGTCCATTGAGGGAGAGGAACAGATCAGGGCCCAACAGCTGCTCACTGGCTGAGCCGTGGCTGAGAGAGAAATCTTCCTTCAGAGTAGAGTAGTTTCACTTCTGTGGAACATGCAAGCCTCCAGTCTCCTTCTGTTTGGTGTAATTATGATGTGTGAAGGGATGCTGGAGCTCCCCTACAGGCCGTCCTGATTCCAATTTAGTTAAGGTTTCTTTTATTAATTTCCACAAAGGAATAACATGTGAAGAGAATCTAGTTTGGGATGGAAAATCCTGTTTTAGGTAGTTGATCTATTTCACTTGAGGTACCATTCCATGAGTTTGCCTTGGAAAGAGTGTTAGTAATAATAACCACAGCTAACAAGTAAGCGCTTTCTCTGTTCCAGGTCCTTTTCTTAGCACTTCACATGTGTTAACTCATTTAATTCTCCCAACAGTTTCGTAAGGGTCCTATTACTTATTAATATCCTCAGTTTTACAGATAAGAAAACCAAGGGAGTGAGCAGTAAAGCAACTTTCCCAAGCATACTTACTTAGTAAAATTACTACCATTAATCTGTTTAAGTTGCACATACTGAAAAGGAGTGGGCCAAAGAGAGAACCTTTCTTGAGGAACTCAAAAGACTTTTCTCGAGTTCATTTATTAAGCTTCGAAACCTCTGTTTTCACTAAATGGGACGATGAGTCTGCCCTTCTGGGCTTTAAAAATACAGTAGACATTCTTCTGCATGATGATGTCCATTCCAGCCCACATCTTTTCCCAACATAGACCAGTTCCATCCAAACTTATTCTACAACTAATTACCCTTCTCTCAAATCACACACCTAACTATAATGTTCTCTACAAGGAACTCAGCAGAAGGATGAATTCCACTCCAACGGCTCCAGAACTCATGTGGATGCATTGCAAATTCAATTCAAATTAGAGTTGAATTTATAGAAATATCTGAAAGATATGACATGACATTTTCCATTAGCAGTAGTTTTATCTGATTAATCTGAGTCCTCAACTTCTCAATTAATTGGACTAACAGGCATCCAAAACTGATGCTGATCAAACTCAGGAGTTTCTTTCATCTCCTCAAGTACTTCTGTCCTCTGTTACTGATTGTCACTCATTGCAGACACATTACTTTTCATATATCATATCATTCTTTTTTTCTTCAGAATCATTCATACTGTCAGTTCATCTCACCATTTTCTCAGTGCTCCCAATTTGTATGATTCTTTAGTAATCCTAAAGTACTGCTTTTTTAGGTAGCACTTTGAATATTCTCATGCCTTTTGAATTTAGTAGACACGATGAGATTAAAAACGTTCGTTAAAAAACTCGGAAACAAGAGGAACCAATATGACTGCACATTGCCAATGACAATATCTTTTGTTCTTGCACGTAAGTTGTTTTGGTTTAAAAACTTTCACTGTGATTGCATCTCTGAAAATAGAGGCTTCTGTACAAGCTGCTCTTGATGTCCATGCAACCTAAACTGCCTTTCTTGTGCAGAAATGGATCTTCCATACATCATCTGAGGAAGGATTGGAGCTATCACATGATAGCACAACCCTGCCAGGAATCAGAGTTTGCATAAATCGTAAACTAAGATACATATATGTATATGCATTTGTATGTAAATATCTTTATGTATGTGTATGTATGTATGTATACATATGCATGCACATATGTATATATGTATGCATCTATGGGAATTGAATCCGCCAGGCCAATGCTGTGTAATATAATGTGATCAAACATATAATTTAAAGTTTTCTAGAAGCCACACTTTAAAAAGGAACAGGAGAAATTAATTTTAGTAATCTTTTATTCAACCCAATATATTTTAAATATTATAATTTCAACATGCAATTAATACAAACAAATTGTTAATAAGCTGTCTTACATTCTTTTTTTTGTACTAAGCATTCAAAATACAAAGTATATGTGTGTGTGTTTTACACTTACATCTTAATTCAGATGCTAAGTTTTCATCAGAAATACTTGATCTGTATTTAAATTTCATAAAACTTAGGGTTGAAAAAACAGGTTCATATACCCAAGTTGTTCCAAACATACTTAGAAGTTGTCAATAATTGAGTTGAATATCAAGTTTTAAAATTTAAATATAAATTAAAATTAAATCAAATTAAAAATTCCGTGGTTCAGTAGCACTAGCTACATTTCAAGAGCTCAGTTCCTAGTATATTGGACAGTGTCTAGTATATTGGACAGTGCAGCTCTATATAATTCTATTGCTTGTTGTTCAAACATTAAACTTAAAAAGGAACAAGTTATGTAAGAAAACAGTTACTACCTGTAGCAGTCAATGTGGCTAAAGGAAGATCCAAAAAGTACAGCATCCTAGAAGCTAAAAGCAGTGCTTTAAGGAGAGAGTAATCAACAGCATAACGTGCTGCCAAAAGGTCAGGAGTGATGACTGAGAAAAACTCTTTGGACTCGCTTCCTAAAAGCTGATTTTTGAAAGAAATATCACAGGCAAAAACCAGCATTCAAATGGTTAAGGAGGGATTAGGTGGTAAGGAAATGAAGAGACAAAGTGATGATTACTTTTTTTTTTCTTTGCAGGGGAAGAGTCACCCTAAGCTAATACCTGTCACCAAGCTTTCTCCTTTTTTCTTCCTTTTTTCCCCCCAAAGCCTCAGTACATGGTTGTGTATAGTTGTAAGTTCTTCTGGTTCTTCTTGTATGAGCCACTTTCACAGCATGGCTACTGACAGACAAGTGGCGTGGTTCTCCACCCAGGAACCGAACCTGGGCCGCTGAAGCAGAGTGCGCAGAACTTTAACCGCTAGGCCATCAGGGCTGGCTCTACTTTCTTTTTAATAAGGAGAACTGATGTTGGTATTTTCAGTAAATAATCATATAGAAAAATCGCCCTTTTGGGCAGGTGTATAGATTTATGAATTTTAAGACATGTATAGATTCATGTAATCACTACCACAATCAGAATACATAATAATTCCATCATCCCAAAAATCTCATCACATTATTACTTTAGAGTCATCCCCTCCACTCACCCCTTACTGCTAGCACTTCTCCACACTATAGTTTTATCTTTTCCAGAATATCATACGAATGGGATCATACAGTATGCAACCTTTTGATGCTGGCTTCTTTCACTCAGCGTAATGCCTTTGAAATTTATCTAAATTTTTTCATATATCAATAGTTTATTATTTTTCATTGCTGAGCAATATTCCATGGTATGAACATACCACAGTTTTATTCATTTACCAGTTGTAGGGCATTGGGGTTGTTACCAGTTTTTTGTGATTATGATTAGAGCTGCTATAAACATTTGTACACGTTTTTCAGTGAACGCAAGTTTTCATTTCTCCAGGGCAATGGTTGGCAAACTATGGCCTGTAGCCTGCCTGCCTGCCTGTTTTTGCAAATAAAATTTGATTGCAACACAGCCATGCTCATTTGTTTACATATTGTCTTATGGCTACTTTTGCACTGCAATAATAAAGTTGAGTCATTGTAACAGAGACTTGTGTCCTATAAGCCTAAAATATTTATTATCCAGCCCTTTAAGGAAAACTTTGCTTACACCTGCTCTAAAGTAAAGAGTCAGGAGTGGGATTGTTGGGTCCTATGGTGGTGTTATGTTTAACTTTATAAGAAACTGCCAAACTGTTTTTCAGAGTGGCTGTATCGTTTTTGCATTCCCATCAGAAATATATGAGATCCAGTATCAGAAATATATAAGAGATCCAGTTGCTCTGCATCCTTGTCATCACTTGGTACTATCAGTATTTTTTTTTAAAGATTTTATTTTCCTTTTTCTCCCCAATGCCCCACAGTACATAGTTGTGCATTTTTAGTTGTGGGTCCTTCTGGTTGTGGCATGTGGGACGCTACCTCAGCGTGGCCTGATGAGCAGTGCCATGTCCGCACTCAGGATTCGAACTTGTGAAACCCTGGGCCGCTGAAGCAGAGCACGCTAACTTAACCACTCGGCCACAGGGCCGGCCCCTGTCAGTATGTTTATATTTAAGCCATTCTAAAAAGTGTGTAGTAGATCTCATCATGATTTTATTTTAGCTCTTAATAGGTAA